GACTTTATACTATGAAGATGTTTTTCAAATATATGTATATTCAATGGTTTTGTACTTACCTAATGGTCCCTATTCCGCTACGAGGCGAGGGATAGATTCCGTCACGGGCGAGATTACGGTGTTGGCATAGGGCCTGAAGGTGATTTTCCTCTGGCGAATTGGCACAGAGACAGGGAGCTGGCACGGGGCCTGAATGTGATTTTCCTCTGGCAATTGGCATAGGGACGGGGAGCTGGCATGGGACCTGGTGGGATATTGGACATTCACTAGTGATTACGATATATATGAGTTATGTTTTGAGACATTGCACAACATGCTAGGTTTCAGAAAACCTATTTTATTTATCACGCTATTTGTGTTTTCATAAAACTTGGGGGTTAGTATGTTGATAACTGTTATATATATATATATATATATATATATATATATATATATCAACTTGGTCCACTCATGTTTGTTTTACGCCCCCTTCAAGACTTAGAATCGAGGCATATAATCCCCCCGTCAAGGCACTTCCGCATCGGCACCTTCGAGTCCTCTCGGTGTAGGACCCATTCCTTTGCTCATTCCATTTTATATTAATTCTTTTAGTGTTTAGAGTTAGTTGTATGTTCTGAACATGTTCCTCATTTGCACATTAATTATATTTAAATTCCTTTTATCTTATTCATATTTTAGTCCTCATGCATTCAATAAATGACTTTCGTCACCCTCGAATGTCGGCCAGCACGTGCTTATCCTGGTGTTCGAGGAATATCGGGATCGGGGGCGTGTCAATATTCTTCTTCTCCAAACTCTCAAAGTCACTTCCCCTCCCCCTCCCCCACCCCCACCCCCCACCCCCACATCAATGTTGAACAAAACCCTAACCACTTAAAGTATAAATACGTAATTTTCAAATCTTGACAAAAAGAAAATAATTTCTTTTTCTTCCAAAAGGAGATTTCGAATTCATCTTTAGATCTCATTCTCACAAAACAAAACAAGAGAAGAAGGAGTAATAGTATTGAGATATGAAGCATCAATAATACAATATTGTCAGTCTATTATCTCAAAATAACTCCATTATTGATCTATGTCATGGAGCTCAAAAAAGTGAAGAAATTGATGTTTAACCATAAAACCAATTAGCAATATAGGGAATAACTCAATTTACTTATGAGCTCATGCAAAGTCTCTGCTCCCATCAAATTTGGGATTCACTCTTAGCATGTCCGTCACGTGTGGTCAATTTTCAAACCTAATATGTGAACAACACAACTATTGATGTGGAGCAGAGACAATCTGCTATGATACCGTAAAGAAGTTGAGGTTTCATCATAAAACTAATTGGCAATATGGAGAATAACCCAATTTACTTATAATCTCATACAAAATTCTTTCTTTCATCAAGGTGGAATTCACTCTTAACAGAAATGATGGGTTTTAGTTTAGTTAGTCAGACCGAGTGTTGTTTTTCATTCACTGTTTGTTTTATAGTAGTTTATGTTTTTCATTCTCCAAGGCAATCCTTATGTAGTAGTGTTGTTGAAGGCGCACAAACTAAGGGTGGGGAAACGGGTCCAGGACCCACGGGTTTGGGTGAGTACTCACAGTTTGGGATGGGTAAAGGACAGGTCCAAAATTTCATAACACCAAATGGGGCTGGGCAGGGCGGGTATACGAATTTAATGGGGCGGGGCGATTCTTAAAATAGAAGTGAACGGGCCTTCGACCCAGCCCATTTCTAGCATGTCCTGTGTACAATTTATTATTGTTTTATGACTCATATCACATCCCACTTTCTCTCTATCTCCTTAACCCATGCCACCCCCACTTCCCTCTGTCTCCCTTTAACCCATCCCTCTGTCTATCTCTACCCACATCATCTCTCTTTCCCAACCAAACAAAATCATGTGCATATCTCTTACCTCTCTCACTCATATTAGATATGATATTTTCTTTCTTTTTTTTCTTTGAAAAACACCAACAACACTCATGCCTCTCATCAACAATCACAAAGCCATCGTCCATCCTTCCATTTCTACCTTCGAAACCTTGAGGCCGCAACTCTCTCTTTCAAACACTCTCAACTTTTAGCCCATATTTCTCCACATATCCGTTGCTCTACGAGCTCAGATCCGAAACCCAGAACCCACCACCACCAAACCTGCAACCCCCACACCTTGGATCTGGGAAATTAAAACCCAGAGACTTCCAAACTCGAGCTTGAGAAATCAAACCCAGAATCTTCAAAGCCATAGACGTGACATACACCAACCCATCGTCTGAGCAAACTGATCTGGGAAATAAAAGTTGAACTTTTTGACCCCAAAAAAAAAAAAGTTTCTGTCGAGTTTGGAGCTCGAATTGTCACCGTTGATGGTCGTTCCTTCTTGTTTTCTGTTTGGCTACTGAGAAAATAGAATTTCCGTGGTGCATTGGGTTTATGGTTTTGCCAGATTTGGAAACAGCACAGCAAGCGGATGTGGATCTTGATGTTGGAGACTGAGTCAAAGATTTGGAGGATGGCATGTCCGGGAGGCTATCAAAACAAGAAAAAAAAAAAAAAGGACCCATGGACTCGTCTCGAACCAACCCGTTTGAAACAAGCAGGGTTAGGTGCGATTTCAGTGATCAAATTTGCAATACCTAGACCAGCCCGTCCTATTTCCTTTATAAGCGAGTCCGGTCTAGTCCCTTCAAATTTGAGCCAGGCCCGGCCCGTGCCCACCCATAGCACAAACTACTGAGAAGGGAACATAACAAACCCCAAATTATGGAATACACAAGGTTGATGTAGAGATTCGGGTGTATATTAGGTGTAGAGTGTGAGGTATGAGTAGTAGGGAAAAATATGCGAGAGGTACTAAAACAAATTTTAATTGAAAAAATAAATGCTCATGTATTTAGTATGGATAAGCATTACCCATTTAGTATATTTATTCAACAACGTGAGGTGTAAATAAAATAACTCTCAAATAAGTTAAAATACTTTTATTGTACTAAATAAGTTGGCGTGCTATATCAAAAATGCCACAATAAATTTATAAAAATGCGTTCTCCTTAATATTACTTTTTATTCACACGATAACAAATTAAATGTCACGTGGGCTTTAAAAATACAAATGGCGGATTCAAATAACTTTTCCTTTTCAAAATTAGCATGCAAACATTTATATATTTCCAACATGCTTCTTTCCCTTGATCTAACCTATGTATATGTATTTGTCATTACCATTTACTTAACCTGTACTACTCGATTTAAAGTGAAATTTTCTTTGGAGTATCCTGCCACGCCCTAAAGCATAATGGTAATGCTTGACCCCTGCTCTCAAATTCTCCCTTGTAGCATTATTGTTTTCTTGTCTCTCTCTAACTGTTTCTTGAGATTTTACACATTTTATGTAGTTTTGAAATTTCAAGTTCCTTCTAAATTTCAAGTCTTTTTGCTCTGTCGAAAATTTGACTTCTTTTTGTAGACTACTGTGATGGTGTGCAAACTTCTTTTAGTCATGACCGTCTTCCTAGAGATCTTTTCAGTGGCTTGTGTTCAGTCTTCATCCCCAAGAAAGCCCCAGTATGCACTATTTGGTATGCTGTTGGCTTTTCTGGCTACGGTCACCTTCATCTCCGCGTTCATTTGCCAAGGTAGAATGGAGAGGGTTGAATTTCGGAGGAGGTGGTTTTATTATCCACGCCCCTCTCACAGGCCTTTCATTACTTATATGGATGCATGCGCAGTACTTAGTTGCATCTGCATGTTCATTTGCCCGATGGTTCATTATGTTTGCTACATTCGGCATGTTGTAAATCCTATAAAGCCATCACTTTACTCTGGCATCATTTTGATTTATCTGTATGCTTCAAGGGCATATAAGATGCGAAAAGAAATGAGAGCCGCGCGGAACACAAGGATACAGAATATAGAAGACCCTGAGGAGATGAATAAACTCTGAGTAGCCACACAGATGTGTTTATTTGTGGTTATGTTCCTGTTTGTATAAGAAAATTAGTAATCCAATTTTATTTGCAGTACGTAATAAGTTTTGCACAAACTGCTAATGTGCTTAAAAATTAAAGGTAAAGAATAATGAGTCAATGAGATTTAATTTTTATATGTTCAATTCATTTACACATCATTACATGGAATGCGAACTCTTCCAAATCCAATTCTCCATCAGAAATCTTAAGCAAAAGCAAAACTCAGTAAAAAATCCTCTCCCCAGTTGAGAAGACTAAACTCTAGTGAGATGAAAATCACCATGAACAACTCTTCGGATTCGAAAGATCCAAATGTGAGCAGATTTAGCAGCTTCAAGAAGCTTCCTTTTGAATCAACCCCAATTATGCCAGCCAACGTTCCAGCGTGCTAGACACTCCTATCACAATCCCCTGCATAGCTTGGAGCAAGGGTAACAATTAAAAGAACAAATCGCTGCTCAAATGTAAGTTCTACAAAATTAAGTTTGAGGTGAAGAATATTGTTGCGGTGGACTGGGGAGAGTCCAAGCGCTTCCTGGAGGCAGTCACAGACAAGAGCCGTCACTCCAAGTGAAAAGTTGAAAACCCACATAACTTTTGCCAAAGTAACTCAGAGAGAGCGCATCTTCAAATGATCTCTTCACCCAGACATGCTATAATCAATGGGACAAGTACCCAGCTTAAACCTTGTTCTTTTCCAACTTCTTGCCTTTTGTAAGGAGAAGAAAATATCTTCACCCTGTCGTTGTTAGCCCCTTCTTTGATAACTCAAGCTTTTGAGGTTATTAGTTGTCTAACATGTTATCACAGTATTCAGAGTGTAGGCAGATAGGGCTACACTCTGAATACTTCTCCATGCCGAATATTTAAGCTTTGAGGGCTAGTGATTGTCTACACGGTTACACCTTCTGGCTTATAGGCGAACCTTGTACCTCACTAATTACTACTGCCTCCCACTAGCTTAAAACAATTCAACCATGCCATTGTTTTAAAGAGTGACTCGTACAAAAGAGAAGCAAACTCATGACCCCTTCACCAAGACCAATTGGAAATCCATTTGCCCAAGTTGCTCTCTTTCCCTTGTTCGAAGTATTCTCATCAGAAGAATTAAGGAACTAGCTTTGCCTCACCCCCATTCTTTCTTTTGAGTTTTGCACACTCTAGCTAGCTTTACTTTAGGGACTGTTCATTTTTCCTTTTTCCAAATTTATATATTCAATTCTTGTTCCCTTTTTTTTCTCTCTTTTAATTAATGTCTCTTTTTTAATTGATCGGTAGCTAGAAAAAATAGATAAAGTGCAGAGGGACAACAGTGGCCACATGAACTTTTCACTTTTATTCATGCTTTGAGTTTGGTGGGCATTCCTTATATATCTAAATCTTGCTTTAGCGAGACAGATTTGTGCTTTTGGTTTGCCCAAATTGTTTCTCTGTCAGAATTTCCAAAGGTTTTTCTTCTTCTTTATGTTTTCTGAATGAAAGTGTCCTTGAATGTCAAGCTTCTTATGATTATTTCTTTTGGCATTTTGTTTCGATATACAAAACTTGGTGAGGTTCTCAGTCTTAGTACCACAATGAATCTAGTTTGGCTTGTGTCGATACTCCTCATCTGCAGACAAGGCTCCATAGAAGCGGACTCAAGACCCGCTGTCGTGAATGTTGGCGCAATGTTTGCAGCGGGCAGCATCAACGGAAGAGTCTTAAAGATTGCCATTGAGGCGGCTAGGAACGATGTCAATTCTGATCCAAGCATTCTTCATAAAACTAAATTATCCATATCTTTTCATAATTCCAACTACAGCGGATTTCTTGGACTCATTGGAGGTAAAAAAAAAAATTTTGGCTTTGTGTTTTTACTACAAAAATTCTCTCTGCAGTATGCGCATCAGTATTTATACTTATGTTGTCGAAACTGCATTAATCACGTGTACTTGAATTTGTACGTTGTTCTTATTTCTTTGTTGATCACAGCGTTAAAGTACATGGAGTCTGATACATTTGCTATAATTGGTCCACAAAATTCTGTGATGGCTCACATACTCTCACATCTTGCCAATGAGCTACGTGTCCCGTTATTGTCAGTCACGGCGCTGGACCCCACCCTAGCAAGTCTGCAGTACCCTTTCTTTGTTCAAACTGCACCGAATGATCAATTCCAGATGGCTGCTATTGCAGACATTGTTAGTTATTTCGGTTGGTCAGAGGTAGTTGCGATTTTCACAGACGATGACAACAGCCGAAATGGTGTTGCTGCATTAGGTGAGAAACTTGCAGAAAAACGCCACAAGATTTCATACAAGGCAGTACTTCCACCTGACCCGGAACCAACTCGAGAAGATGTAAAAAATCTGTTGATAAAGGTTCGAATGATGGAGTCTCGAGTGATCGTTATACACACATTCTCCACATCTGGTCTCCTGGTTTTTGATGTTGCTAAAGAACTTGGGATGATGGAGAGTGGATATGTTTGGATAGCCGCAACTTGGCTGTCTACTGTTTTAGATTCAACTTCACCTCTTTCTTCGAAAACTGCCAGCTCCATCCAAGGTGCTCTGACTCTTCGTCCACACACGCCGGATTCTAAGCAAAAAAGGGATTTCATATCGAGGTGGAACGAGTTGAGTAATGGCTCTATCGGGTTGAACCCTTACGGTCTGTATGCCTATGATACAGTTTGGATGCTTGCCCGTGCTATAGATTTGCTTTTGGAACAAGGAAGCAGCATTGCCTTTTCCAACATTACTAGTATAGGACCTATTGGCGGTCTTAAAGGAGGGACTTTGAACCTGGGTGCATTGAGCATTTTTCAGGGTGGGAAGCAGTTGCTGGACAATATTTTGCGTACAAATACAACTGGTCTGACTGGTCGGGTAGCATTTCATCCAGATAGATCGCCATTGAATCCTTCATATGAAATCATTAACACAATCGCAAATGGATATCAAAGAATTGGATACTGGTCTAACTACTCTGGTATATCTCTTGTTGCCCCTGAGAAATTATCCAACCGGTCTAATGCGAACCAACGTTTGGACACTGTTATATGGCCCGGAGGGACAACAGTTAAGCCTCGGGGATGGGTTTTTCCAAACAATGGAGAGAAATTGAGAATTGGAGTGCCAAATCGAGTCAGCTTTCAAGGCTTTGTGTCACATACAAGTGGTACTGATGTAGTTGAAGGATACTGCATTGATATATTCATTGCAGCCATAAATTTACTTCCTTACGCAGTTCCATATAAGTTTGTTCTGTTTGGTGATGGCCTCAAGAACCCTAGCTACAACGAGCTCGTAAACATGGTTGCTTCAGGTGTAAGTAACCTTCAATTATTTCTTCACACTATTTTTCTCTATTTGCACGCCCCTTGTTTATTCCTGACCTTTGGATTGAATAAATCTATAGATTATAAGGGACATAAATAAAGAGGGGCATGCGGAAATCATTTTCCCTTGACTTATTTTGGCACAGAGAATATTGGTAAGCACAAAGTTTCCAAATTTGCATCTGATTTGGACCTTTGTTCTGCAGAAGTTTGATGCTGCGGTAGGTGACATTGCAATCGTCACTAACCGGACAAAGATTGTGGATTTCACTCAGCCGTATATAGAGTCGGGGCTAGTTGTGGTGGCTCCAGTTAGGGATTCGAATTCAGCTTGGGTATTCTTAAAGCCATTTTCTTCATCAATGTGGGGTGTAACGGCATCCTTCTTCCTAATCATTGGATTAGTGATATGGATTCTTGAACATAGAATAAACGATGAGTTCCGAGGTCCTCCTAGGAACCAGATTGTCACAATTTTATGGTAAATGCTTTGTAACTTTAACATTCCGACACAGATTTCGCATATAGATACTGATTTGCAGTGGCATGAAAAATTGTAGACTCATCTGCCTTCATTCTGTTGTTTTTCAGGTTTAGCTTCTCTACTATGTTTTTTGCTCACAGTAAGTTCAATTTTGGCACATTATATTGTGTTCTTACCAAGAAATTGATAGCAAGTTTAAAAGATCAATCTTTGAACTTTCAGGAGAGAACATCATCAGCATGCTAGGCCGCATGGTGCTGATCATCTGGCTTTTTGTAGTTCTAGTGATCAACTCAAGCTACACGGCTAGCCTGACATCAATGCTCACAGTACAACAACTATCATCTCCCATCACCAGCATCGATACCTTGATAACTAGCACAGAACCTATAGGATTCCAAATCGGATCTTTTGCTCAGAACTATTTGGTTGAGCAGCTCGACATCCCAAAGTCCAGACTAGTTCCTCTTGGCTCGCCAGAAGCTTATGCAACCGCGCTTAAGGACAAAACTGTTGCTGCTGTGGTTGACGAAAGAGCATATATAGAACTCTTCCTCTCAGAAAACTGCAAGTTCTCGATTAGGGGGGCAGAATTCACCAAAAGTGGGTGGGGATTTGTAAGTACCTCAACATAACTAGTTTTGGTCTTAAATTGCTTAATCCGCCATCTTTTGTTTTGAATTTTTCTCTTGTCGAATAGTCTAACATGTTATACGTTATCATACTTCAATCTAGACCACTAAATCAAGTGAAATCTTGTTTGGATGTTTAGCTCATATTTTCAATTTGACAACATAACATGTCAGATATCTAAGACCGATCATTTAACTGTTTCGAATCATGCATCTGTTTTTTTTGTAGGCATTTCCAAGAGACTCTCCTTTCGCAATTGACATGTCAACTGCCATCCTCACTCTATCTGAAAATGGTGATCTCCAGAAAATTTATAACAAATGGCTCTCCAGAAAGATTTGTGCTTCAGAGAGCTCCAGCATCGTATCCGACCAGCTTCAACTACAAAGCTTCTGGGGGCTATTCCTAATCGCCGGCATTGTATCTTTTTTTGCTCTACTCATTTACTTGTTTACCACGCTACACCAGTACAAACGCCATACCCCCGAAGCTGAAGATCAAGCCGAGCCTTCGAGCCAAGAAAACATCAACTCTCACTCTACCTTAACACGCCTCCTCATGTTCTTGTCCTTCGTGGACAAAAAGGTAGACAAATCGAAGAAAAATAAGTCGAAAAGAAAGCGCAACGAAAGCGTAGTACCAAATGGTCCAAATGTGATTGAAAATGAAGATGATCAATCAGTAAGGAATGCTTCCAAGAGAATACAGATCGACAACCCTCAAGAGATGCATAATGCTGACAATGACATTTGGCTAACTCGTTAATTAAACATGATTAAGTAGTTAATCATATCGTGTTTTTCTGACCAAGAAAGAATCATATCATATTTTGTCTTCTACTCCCTTGTACTAATTTTAAGAAAAATTGATCATCAAACTTGGTAATGTATTGTCATATTTCATTTTTCAAGAATACATTGCTATTTCGTTTATATACACTTTATTTGATTAATTTGGTCATGAAATGGAATGTTGATATGTTATTGCTGTTGTCAGATTATTACCAACAATTTATACATACTTGATATCAGTACATTTATAACAAGAGAAATATTAGGGGCCCTCTCAAAAGTGGAATTCTCCATGAATTCTCTGCATCTCATGTTTTTATTATAATGTTGGCACGATAATTGACGTTAAACCGTGAGAACTCTTTCATAATTGGGACTTTCTATAGACAATTTGTCAGCTCACAGTTTAACGTTAATTCACGTGTCAACATTATAAAACATTATATTAAAAACATGAGATGCCGACACTAAACCACATCATTGATTAACATAAAAGTTAACGATCAAGCTAAAGTGAGAGAAAAAAAAATAATGTTTCGAGAACAGAAAGATGAAATGCATTAAAAAAAAACTTTTTTTTTCTTAGAGAAATGATCTTTCAAGAGTGACTCTCTATAAATTATCTATCATCTTACAATTTAACGTTATTTTCTATATCAACATTATAAAATATTATACTAAAACAAAAGTGGAAGAGTCACTTCTGGATGAGTCATCATAGCATTTCCATTTGTTTTTTATTTTGATAGGAGCCGAAACGTATGAAATTTTGAAAATTGAGAAACTGGAGGAAAATTAGAAATAAAAAAATGAAGTGTCTTTTCAATTTCTCTTTGCAGTGGTTATGTCACTACCTATCCCCACGGCCAGCCCATATATTTCATCCAAAAACCCAAATCCCTACAATTTTCCAACAAGCATCTTCTCCTCCGTCCTAAAACCCCCCCACACTCCCTCAGCTGCTCCCTCCGCCCAGCAATGGCGATCTGCCCCCAATCTCCGTTCAAGCTCTTCACCGCCATCCCATCACAATCATCGAAGCCCAAACCCCTCCACCTCCGATGCAATTTCTCCCTCCCCTCCCGACCCCCCCTCACCTTCACCGAGCCCGAACCCGTCTTCACCTCCGTCAAGGCCTTCGCCCCAGCAACCGTCGCCAATCTAGGCCCGGGATTCGACTTCTTGGGCTGCGCCGTCGACGGCCTCGGCGACTTCGTCTCCCTCACCATCGACCCCCAGGTCTCGCCTGGCGAGATCTCCATTTCCGAGATCTCCGGTGACCACAACTCCAAAAAGCTCAGCAGAAACCCTCTCTCGAACTGCGCCGGAATCGCCGCCATAGAAGTCATGAAGATGCTTGGAGTTCGATCGGTAGGCCTTTCCCTCACTCTGGAAAAGGGGTTGCCTTTGGGCTCCGGGCTCGGATCCAGTGCGGCGAGCGCGGCGGCGGGTGCTGTTGCGGTCAACGAGATTTTTGGCGGGAAATTGGGGATAGAGGAATTGGTGATCGCGGGGCTAAAATCGGAGGAGAAGGTGTCTGGCTACCACGCCGATAACATAGCTCCGGCGATTATGGGAGGGTTCGTGTTGATTCGGAGCTACGAACCGTTGGATTTGATTCCGTTAGTCTTTCCGGATGGTAAAGAATTGTTTTTTGTGTTGGCAACGCCGGAGTTTGAAGCTCCGACGAAGAAGATGAGGGCGGCTCTGCCGGCGGAGGTCGGGATGGCCCACCACGTCTGGAATTCGAGCCAGGCTGGGGCGCTGGTGGCGGCGGTGCTGCAGGGGGACGTGCCAGGGCTTGGCAGGGCCTTGTCGAGCGATAAGATAGTGGAGCCGCGGCGGGCCCCTCTGATCCCCGGCATGGACGCGGTTAAAAAGGCGGCGATCGAGGGCGGAGCATTCGGGTGCACAATAAGCGGGGCGGGGCCCACTGCGGTGGCGGTCACGGATGATCCCGAGAAAGGAAAGGTGATCGGAGAAAGAATGGTGGCGGCATTTCTAAAGGAAGGGAAGTTGAAGGCGGCGGCGAGTGTGAGTAGACTCGACCGGGTTGGTGCCAGGCTTGTCAGCACCATTCCAAGATAGAAGTATCACTAAACTAAGAGCTAGTCGGTTTTAAAATGATTGGAGGGAGAGTTTGTTTTGTTGGGTAAGGATTTTAGGTGGTTTTGTAAACAAATGTACTAGGAAGGAAGGTGGCTTCTGTGTTTGTGTTGCATTTTGTATTCACATAAAACTAGTGAAATGCGTAATGAAGTGTTTTGATTAAGCACTAAGTTTTGGCTCTCTTGTGTCATCTTCGTTGCATGGTTTTAGAACCAAAGCGATTTCCGCACTCTTTTTTCCATTTTGTTTTGTTCTTTTATTCCGGTTGAAAATAAATAGAGTGCGGAAATTATTTTTCTTGATACATGCTCTAAAGTAGTCTACTTTAGAGTTGGATTTGGATGTTTGAACTCACAGTTGGTGGTTAAGGGTTCCAGCTGGTCTTTAAATGCTCAATGATTTTCTACCTTGTGTCGGTCCTTTAAATCCTCTCTTTTGGGAACTTGCTATTCATCATTCTCTCATGGCTTTCCATTGCAGGTTTATCACCGGAAAAACTCCCCTTCTTACTCCGTTCTTTTGCATCTTAACCTTCATCATTGTCCTCATCACTCCATTCTTGAGCATCTTAACCCTTGTCGTTGTCATGATCGTCCGCCCGGTGCTGTGGCTTGCTGCATTGTTCGACCGTCACATGGCCAGATCTAGCGCTTCCACGCCTCAGCCTCCCAACCCTTTGCCTGACCAAGGACTCGATGAAATGATTATATGTCGCTTCCTAGCGTCTCGTATAATGCAGAAGCGGATGCAAGACTAGCAGAATGTGCAATCTGCTTGATGGAGTTTGTGGATGGAGATGTCACAAGGGTGTTGCCTCGTTGTGGTCACGGATTCCATGTGAGTTGTGTTGATAGGTGGCTGAGGTGCCACTCTTCGTGCCCGTCTTGTCGCCGCAGCGTGGTTGCGGAAGAGGGGTGTTACAAATGAAGTTGGTATCGAGCTCATGGATTCGGAGTTTGGAGCTCTGAACAGATCATGTAAAATGGCCTGAATCATTAACAGTTTCATTCAAGCCGCTGCAATTTTCATTCAATTCGAAGCAAATGTAAAATTTCAACATGTAAACTAGTAAAGCAATCACCTTTCCCATGAAGTTATCCCAAAATTTTCGTTCCGAAGAGATTGGACATTGAACTCTAGTCATTTTAATCAGGTATAACAAATGGGGGATAATTATACAATAACCCCTTCCGTAAGGATCAATCGTACCAATTCCAAAACAAGTAAAGAAAATGTAGATTCGATGCAAAACTAGGAAGATTAAACAGCTTTCAAAACTTTTAACCCACTATGGATCAAGTTAATTGTTCTTGGCAGCTGCAGCCTGCTTTGCACCAACAGAGAAAAACTCGGTAATCACTTCAAGGGGCATGCCTTTGGTCTCGGGAACTTTCAAGAAAACAAAGATAAATGCTATGACGCACACAACTGCGTACATGCCAAAAACACCAGCAAGGCCAACAGATTTGAGCATCACCGGAAGTGAGTAGGTGACAATGATATCACCAATCCAGAATGTGAGGGCGCAGATGGCAATGCAGAGGCCTCGAACTCTGGTGGGAAAGATTTCTGCACAGAGTATGTTGGGGATCGGACCAAACCCCATAACAAAGAAACAGAAGTAGAGCACAACGCTGACAGTTGAAACTGATGCATTTACAACACTTCCCATATTCACAAGACTTCCGAGGACTAGGATGACCAGAGACACTATCAGGACAGGGATTGTGCCGAGCAGCAAACTCCTGAATTAAGAATGGTTCCAAATTGTTAAATTAGACAATACACAAATTTAACATTGAAAACTTAACCGAAACATAAATGATGCTAAACATCTTATTTTGAGGATCACGAAATCGTGCATGCTAATGCAAATGAAAAATTACGAAGCAGTAAGTGTTCAGCTGGCCATTCGAGCAAGATGTCAAGATATAACCAAAAGAATATATTTACCTTCTGCCGGCTAAATCCATGAGCCTCATGGCAATGGCTATGCTAGGAAGCATCAGCAAGGTTGTTACTGCACTGATAAGCAGAGATGCAGAAGCTGAACTAATGCCCAAGTTCGAAAGAAGAACCCCAACGCCCGCCTGCTCAAGAATTTGAGGCGTGTAGTAGAGAACCCCGTTTATGCCAGAAAACTGCATGAAAAAGAAAAAAAACATAAAAAGTTGGAATCATTATAACACAAAAATTAATGGAGGTTTCTCAGTAAATGAATTTTCATTACCTGCTGAAGTATCTGAATTCCCACCCCAACAACCAAAGCATGCTTGACTCCGGGTTCGAAAAGGTCACTCCAACTTGGTCCTTTTGCAGGAGTTGCAGCTGGGTTAACCATTGCCGGTCCAACCGGATGCTGATTCATAAGCTCACGTGAATAAAGAGCCGGTTCACTCACCAAAGCAGCAGCCTGGAAGAACTGACCATCGTTCAGTGCATCACCACCAGGAATCGAAACAATAGATCCACGACGAGATGCAGCATCACCCTCCTGGTGTAAATAAATTCTTTTAAACCCTCCTTCCTTGTGTCCATCTTGGCCTTCTCTCTCACACCATTTCCACGCCAGCTGCCAACCGCCACCAATCCCCGTGCTACTAGCTCCCTCTCCACCAATGAGACTGCTGTTTCTTATGCTAGCAAGGCTTCCATGTGGAGGTGGGCCAATGTCTTTTTCAAGGCTTGTTGCCTGACGCGAGATCAATGGACTCTGCAAATTGCCATCAGAATCACCACCAGCTGCATCAGATGCATAACCCTCTCCTTCTCTGGCAAGGCTTTCCTCGTCCCACTCTTCGTGTCTAGGCTGATTCCCTCCCACACTAAACATGCTGCCAAAGTGCGGAAAAAGCATACTTCCCTTACTTCCTGTATCGGGGAGCTTCTCATGTACACTGCCAAAGAGAGAGACAAGAGGATCAACAATACCGCTTTGATTTACCATGCTTGCATGTCGAGACACAAGTCCAAGAGTGCTTTGCCCAGTTACAGGTCTGGCAACCCAGGATTGTCCTTGTTCAGGCCCATATAATCTGATTTTATCCTTTTCAGCGGATAAATCGTGGTCATCAGCGAGGTCATCCTCTGGGCCAATTATGTACTCCTCAAAAGACGTTTCACCCCCAACTCCAAGACCCTCAACAAGTAAAGCCATTTCACCTGTTGGTCAAATAAGGATCAAACACCATTCAAACAATGCAGGATTGCAAATGAAATAGTTAGTTTAGGGAAGCAAATATCACATACTTTCCTACTAACAAAGATTATGCAATCTGAAGTAAGAACAGGAGAACAAAGCAACTTTATGCTCGCTCAAAAAAGGTTTGGTAATGTTATGGCTAAAAAGAATGCACAAAGGACTTTAACTCGAAGGACATAACGACCCAGAAGTACTGGATTCTCTTCCGGATAGAATGAAAATGCAGTCCTTTAAACATGACGACTCCAATTAAAAACTGACCCTTGAAACAAACCACTGGTTCTCTGATTTAATTTTTGAAAGTTTTACTATTTAGGTTGAACTAAAAATGACTTTACTAATAGTGACTAAATATTCAAAGATATCAGAATAAAATCACTAACCAGCAACATCTTCTCTTCCACGCAGCCTCTGTAGAACTTGTTTGGCCTCAAGCATCCGTCCCTTACTCACAAGCCATCGTGGAGACTCAGGCAAGAAGAACACAGTCAATACAAAATAAACAAGAGAAGGAATAGAGAGAACACCAAGCATCAACCTCCAACTTGGCGACTCTGTCAACGACATCCCAAAAACCATGCAATATGACAAGAACATCCCACCGGAGCCAGTAAACTGCGGAAGGGTATTCAACGATCCCCTTATCTCAGGCGGGGCTGTCTCAGATATATAAAGTGGTACCAAGGTAACCGCCAAACCAATCCCAAATCCATCTAAAAGCCGCGCCAAGAGAAGGATATAAACATTGGGAGACCACAGCATTACAATACCACTAAGAAAGTAAAGGACAGAAGAGATTATAAGCATAGGACGGCGGCCTAGCCAGTCTGCTACGGCTCCAGAACAAAATGTAACCACAGTTGCGCCTATAAGCGACATGGCCACAATCAGCCCTTCCACGGCGGGTTCACTTTCCAAGTTGAATTCCCTCTTTATGTACAAAACAGAAGCTGCAGGAAAAACCGAAAAGTTCACTCATAAACACAATCAAGCACCAAAATCGCATAAGCTTAACTTATAATCCAAACTTCTCAAAGAAAAATCGAATTATAGACCGCAAATGAAGTAAACTTCAGGCTAGACCGATGAAGTAAACTCTATTATAAACCAAGACAAAGCTAAAGAACCAATCTGTGAAGCATCTAAGTAGACAATTTTCCTCAATCTTAAAAGCATCAAACTTTCAAATGTTGAAAAAAAGACAGACATAAAGCTCTTGATACTAAATAGTTAGAGATTTACCTGCGATAGTGGCGTTGTCCCATCCTTGCAACAAGTTACCAATTGCAGCAGCAACAGCAACAAGAACAGCTCCACTCATTTTTCCACTCAAAAATCTAAACCAATTGGAACCCTCTTCACAAAATCTCACCAAAATCCAACCAATCGAATAAAAAAAAAAAACAAAAACCCAGATCAAATATCAACGAATCGAACCAGTTCTCGACCACCCAATTCAGCAATCCTAGCAACAAAGTGACCCCATTGCATAAAACAACACAAAAATCAAACACAAAGGAAAAACATGGGCAGGCCCACAAGACAAGAACAAAAGGTCGAGGTTTTACCAGATTGATGGTGTGTTTGTTCTGTTGTGTTTGTCTCCGAATGCAACGACGCCGTCAAAAGTTCGAGACTTTGAGTCTTTGCAGATGATATTTTCACTCTTTTTCTATAATTTCCACGAAAACGAAACGCAGATTATTTATAAAAAAAAAAAAAACAAAATCCTATTCGGTGAGAGAAAAAGTACTAAAGGAGAAGCCGACAAGGAGAAAACAGAGGTAAGCAGTTTCGGAAACAAAGGTGGTAATGGAGAAGAAGACAAGGAGAAAACGGAGTTGAGCAGTTTTACGAACAGAGCGGTGGCTGTTGGACACCTGGCCTTTTCCTCCTCTCCTGACCCTGCACGTCACTTCCCTCCCTGCTCAGCCTCCTGTGACATGTTCCATCATCCTCTAAACCCAACTTTATCTCGACTTCAGATTACCAATCTCCAACTCTGATTAGATTAGAATATCGCTCGAAGGGATGAAAAGCCAATAAACAGAGATGCTCTGTTTTCTTTGAGAAATAAAGAAGAAGAGTATCTGAGAGAACTGATGGGGTTTTCGGAGGAGAGAAAACTAACCAAGTGAACCAAGGCCGTCTAGGTTAAAGAAATAAACTTAAAGAATTTGCTAAATATAAAATTAAAAGAATTTCTTAACAAATGGCCTCCAAGCTCAGCACAGCACAGCACAGAGCACAAACAGCAGCAACCCAGCTCAGCTCTTGAATATTCCCACCACCAATTAATGAAATTATTAGCTAGTGGACAAGAAGAATAAACAAATAAATCAAATCAGAAAACAGATGTTTAATAATTTAATTGGGATTTGTTTGTGTATGTTGCAGAGTCCTTGTTTGTGTTGGAGATGTATTAAGTTTGATTAATCTTGTATTAGGAAAAGAAGAAGCACTAAACTAAAAACAATGATTGGGAGGTGAAGTAATCGAATCGAATCGAATCGAAGCGGATCGCATCGGATCGGATTGTATTTACCTTGTTGTAATGGAACACAAGTAACTAGAGGACGAGGAGTCCACAAGTCAGTGTAGTTCCAATGGGCGGGGGCACCTCCTGCTTTTGGGATGGCTCAAAGTTGTCTTTGCTTCTTTTTTCTTCCCTTTGAGTGAAAAAAAAATTTATTCTAGATTTTTATCACAAATTCTCTCTTCAAAATTGATCTAACATTTTGGTCATTTTAGTTCAAAATGGATCCTTTTTCATCCTTGAAGTTCTTTATCGCACATTAATTTGATCTTTCCGTTGGACTTTTGTTATAAAATTTGTTAGTTTGATTATGTTGCACACAAATAAGACCCACTGCTTCAATAATATCATTAGATATGAAATACACAATAAATAAATAAATTATGAAGTGTTTTAAAGTTTTGAAATCCATTGAAAACATAATATAATAATTGAATTTTGAATGTGCCAAAATAACTTAAACATTTGGGTCTAATAATATAGGAGTGGAGGTAGTTTTCGTCATGCATAAGATCGGCCATTATTAGAGACTGTTTTGATTACCAGGGGAAACATCATAAATGTGGAAGTTGAACAAGATTTTTTCTTTTAGTAATTTTCGTTTGGATGTTGTTTTTAACTTTTCAAGTTTGGAGACTAGTTTGGGGTTTCTTTATATAACCATATTCGTCTATTTTCTTAACTACAAATAAATGTATAATGATTTTGCATTTGCCTAATTTTTTGCAAGAATAATGTATATATGATGTTCTAAAAAAAATATGTGTTGATAGTTAAAATATATTACAAAGCGGCGGACCCCACAAAAACTTGTGCCAAAAGTTGTATAAAAGAAGTAGTGCCACGAATCCGTCTCCTTTATTTATTTATATACGGTTCGATCATTCGTACACTAGAAGCAAAACAAGATCCATTCTGTTCTAAAGACAATGAGGAAGAGGTTATGGAGCCTGAAGTTTCATACCTTAATGCAATCAGACGCTTTATTGTACTTAGCTCAATGCACTAGACCGGACATATCCTTTATTGTTAATCTTTTGCAAAGATATAGCAATGCGCCAACATGTAGACACTAGATTGGTGTCAAAGACATTTTTGGTTACCTCAAAGGTACTAAGGACTTAAGCTTGTCCTATACCCCTATGCATCCTCCGGTAGGGACGTCGCTCCCTCGGATTTTGTGTTGATTCTCACCTTGTTGGTTATGTTGATGCAGGTTCTGTACAAGGCAATTTCTCAAATGGGTTATGTATTTACAATTAGAGACACTGCAATCTCTTGGAGGTCAACCAAACAAATCTTAGTTGTTACTTCTTCTAACCATGCTGAAATTCTTGCCTACATGAAGCTACACATGAATGCTTCTAGCTGAGGGCCTTAATGGAGCATATCCGAAGCATTGGCAGACTTTCTTCTGTCAAAGAAGACAACACCACATATATTGCGCCAAAATTCTTATTTTCACATCAGCAACAAGAGCGTCAAAAGATTGAAGTTAAGCAAATCCATCCCTAGGACAACCTTGCCAACCCCTTTACGAAATCACTACCGAAGTCTACTTTCTAGAAACTTGTACAAAAAATTAACACGCGTAATTATCTCATTTGAATTGCTTGTAGTTCTCATTGAAAGCTTTGCCAAACTCATGAAGCCTGTAAACCTAAAACTGAAAACCCAACACGTTGGAACCAGCTCACTCCGTGAACCAAAATTTTTATTTTCAGAAACACACCCCTGACGGCTGACGGAAGACCGTTTCCGTTTAGCCACTTTTCTCTTAATTAAAGTTGAATTTAATTACGAATGTGCCACTGCACATTCAGCCCAAAACCCTATTTTTTAATTTTTTTTTTTTAGTATATCAATAATTTTACATTAAAGAGAGGGGGAGTTCAGCAAAACCACACAATAAGCAGCCTAATTTGGTATCGAAGTCGTCATCCACGAGATTCGAACTTAAGACCTCTCACTTCCAAATGAATATGAATATCATCAGACCGTAATATTAAGTGGCAGCCCAAAGCCCAATTTTAAAAATAAAAAAAAAATACAACACACAACGGAAGCAAAAGGCACAACCAAAGAATGAATAAGGATCCTCTCCGGATCCATTTGGTGAGGATCTCGGAGATCCTCCAATCGTATCCATTCACCGTACATCTTGCGGTCATAAATTATTGTAAATTTTTTTAATTAGAATGGACTGAAGTATAAGAATCACGGGTACCCGGATCGGCCCGTTTGTAATTAGAATGGACTGACGAGATTGATCTCCATCCAATCTTAATCGTTGGTTTTAGGTTTCCTCGTCCTCGACCTATCGAATTCAACTCTGTCACTCGAGTCTTTCTTGCCGTCTCGAGTGCATCGTCCCCTTCCCTCCACCACCCCGACATCACGACGGCCCTGGTGACCACCATCTTCTCAATTTGTCACCTCTCTATCACCTCTTTCTTGCCGTCTCGATTTGACATCCCAAACTTACATAACCTAATCACCCTATCACCCATCTTCTCAATTTGTCACCTCTCTCTCGCCGTGTCGAGTGCATCATCCCCTCCTCTCCACCACCCCGACATCACAGCGGCCCAGCAACTTCGACGACATCTCAGATTTACAGAACCTTGTCACCTCACCACCAATCTTCTCGATTTGTCACTTCTCTCTCAATCTCACAGGTAAAAACCAACCTCTCACAGGTAAAAACCAACCTCTATGTATATAATTGATCTGCATTTCGAGTTCTCTACTATATTTCGGGTGTTAAATTCCTAAATATTATGTGGGTCAAGTTTGATTTAGTTGTTTTTCAGCATTTCGTTGTAATCTGAATCACATATTGTGTTTATTGTGCTAACTAATTACCAGATTAGGTCAATTTTATGTGATTAGTGCCAGCATTTTAAGGATCTGAATCTGATACTCAGTCTTAGAGGTAAAAACCAAACCCCTATTTTCTTCTATGATTTATCAAATTTTGTTTTAAAATCAATTGAATTAAACCTGTATTTGTTCATGTGAAATGTGGATGGATATGTGGAATTCTTGATTACAAGTTTTAATAGGAATGTAAGTTGTTAGAAATGTAAGTTGTTACCATTGTTATTCAACTTCTTGTTAGAAATGTAAGTTGTTAGAAATGTAAGTTGTGTTGTTTCTTGTTATTCAATGCCTTTGTATTAGTTTCATGTGTCTTTGTATTAGACACATGAAACTAATACAACTGTGCCAACTGTGCTGTTTCTTTTCGTCCTTTTTTTCTGGTAGTTTATTAGTTTTGGTTGATGATGCCTTGGGGCATCAACAATATTATTTCATAGACAAGTTTGCAACTTCAATGAAAAAAAGAGTGCAAGAAAGACAGAACAAGGTGTCATCTTACTTAATAGTACCATAAGTCTATGTTACATACAGTGAGATTATGAGAAGGGTGCACCATTGACTAATTTATTTTAGGTACCATAATTCTATGTTGATTACAGTGAGATTATGATCATTCTTCTTATTTTGGGTTTTTTCAGTTTGCCACATCATTAACATCAAATGATATTGATGAAATACAAAAGCTTCTTGATGTTGTTGTGATTCAAGGTATTCACTCCATTCTTTTGACTTTTCAGGGGGCATATGAATGTTATTTTGAATGTCTTGGATTTAATGTTTCGAACGATGTTAGACGATGTAATGTTGTTAATATATGAACTTGAATTTTGGACTTTGTATTTGGATTGGATGTGATCTGTGCAGGGAGTAGTGCAAAATCTGCATTGCACATGATATCTGATAGTGAAGTGAACTGTGAATGTGTGCAAATGTGAACTGCTAGGAATGAATTTAAATCTGTGCAAATGTTAGTTTATATATATATATATATATATATATATATATATATATATATAACCAAAAAAAAAAAACCAAGGACCTGTGGACCCGACCTATTTCAACCGGCCCGGGTTAGGTCTGGTTCCTATATTAGAATCTACTATCCCCGGCCCAGCTTGGTCCGTCTCCTTTGCACTTGGGTCCGGTTTGGTCTCTCCAAAATTGGGCCCAGCCCGGCCTATGCATACAGTTGGCTTTTAAGGGGTGTGACCGATTTTATTGCACATGACCCCAAAATAGTTTTTTTTAATATAATAATATATAAAATAATATTATATTATATGAATATAATAATAGTTTTTTTATTGAATCAAATCAAAATATATATATAAAAAAATCTGATGGGCCTAAAAGCCATAAGACACCTACCTAAAATCTGTACGAAATTATATAAAATTATGATTAACAAAGCTATGTTTGCAAAGGTAATCAATTAAAAGGGGAGAATCCCACTGAGGCAAACAATTTAAAACTCAGAGTCCCCTTTTCTTCTCTCACGCCAAAGTCACATCACTGCTTCCCACTTTTCTTCTTTCACACCAAAGTCCCAGGCGTTAGAATCCTGGGCGCCATTACCATTGTCCTAGTCTACTTTACTTTTCTCTTCGTCCCATTGCTCTTTTTTCCACAAATTATTAAACCCTAATTTATAAGTTCATGAAATTGAAGAGAAACTTCAGAATCATGAAGACAATTCAACTTATCAAAGTGATGTAGATTTCGATTAAAGTAAGATATTTACTAATTTAAGTATATTGACTTGGAATTTGAAGATTTAGATATTTCTCATTTATAATGATTTTTTTTCTTTTGTACTTTTCAGGGCAAAATCAAGATGAGAGCAGTCACAAAAAATCACTAGACGCACACGTATTGCAGACTATCAGGTTTTATTGTTCATACTTATTATAATTTTATTTTGATCTTGTTTGAGATATAAAATATGGTAACTACTAAAAAATATTCATCTGGCTACTTGAAGTGTCAAAGAAAAAGAAAAGTTGAACAATTGACT